ACGAGGGGCCAGGCGCTAGTTGGACTCCCCAACGACCCACGTCTTCCGCTTCTAGGGGAACGCGCCGCCTGCCGCGGCGGCGGCATCGGCGGCGGCGGCGGCCGCCGCCAGCATCGACGCGTCCGCCGCCGAGACTGCGGCGGCGGCGGCGGCGGCGGCCGCAGCGGGAGCAGCCGAGGAGGGCGGAGGCGTGGCGGACTGCTGCTGCGCGGGTGGGGGCGCGATGGGGCGCAGCAGCTTGGTGGGCGGCGACGTCGACCTCGGGGAAGTGGTCGAGGGTTGGTGTGCCGCTGCCGGCGCGCGTGGGGAGGAGGCCCTGGCCGCCGCCCGCGCCGCCGCCCTGCCCTTGGGCGACGACTTCGGCGAGCTCGACGCCGGCCTTGGAGTCATCGAGCGCGAACCGCGCGGCGCCTGGGCGAGATCTCGCCGAGATCCGGCCGTGATCTCGCCGAGATCTCGCCGAGAGATGAGCGGCGCCTGGCCGTCCGACGAAGCCGACCGCTTCCCCTCGCGGCGCGCGCCCGCGGGTGGAAAGACGGCGGTCCCGTCCGGGTCGAGCACGGGCTGAAGCACGAGGTAGGCGCCTCTGCGCGGGCCGACGGCGTAGGAGTGGCCGGGCGGGGCGGTGGGGAGGAGGACGCCCTTGGGCTTGAGGGCCAGGCCGCACGCGGGCCGAGACTTTGTCAGACCCTCCAGCGTGAGGGCCGACTGGCGCTGCGACGTGAACGCCGCCGGACCGAGCTGAACCGGCGTCGCCGACGCCACGGGCGGCAGACGCAGCTGCGGCAGCTTCGGCGCCGAGCGCGCCAGGTGCGGCATTGGCGGCTGCCCGCCGATGAACGGGCCCAACCAGTGGATCTGCCCGGCCTGGCTCCAGTGCTGCAGCATCTGCTGCTGCTGCTGCTGCAGCGCCTGCAGCTGCAGCGCCCGCTGCTGCGACCCCGCCGGGCCCGCCGGCGGCTGGCCCGACTGCCCCTGCAGCTGCATCAGCATCATCGTCTGATGCGCTTGCTGCTGCTGCGGCGGCCCCATCGCCCCCCACCCCGCCCCAACCGGCATCCCACCAGCCATGCCCGGCGCGGGCCCCGGCGTCGCGCGCATGGCGCTTCGGGGATGGAGGCGGGCGCCGCCGCGAGCGCCTCAGCCACCGCCTCTGCGCCAGCGCTGCCGAGCAGGTGTTGGCCTGCCGCCAGGTGAGGCCCCGAGCCATGCTGCCCGGCGGCGTAGGCGTCGGCGCCTCGGCTCGCGAGCCTGCGTGCTGAAGACGCCAACCTCAGGGCGGGAGGACGGGACTGTGCAGCGTGCTCAGAGCACCGCGTGAGTCCAACGGAGAAGAGGACAGTGAACACCGTGGAATGCGGGGGAAGACGGCGGAGTGCGTGTCCTCTCGGGCGCTGGTTGGGAGACATGAGTACACGTCTTCCGCTTCTGGGTTAGCGAGCCGCGCGCGCAGAAAGGAGCGGAGGCCCTTCGAGAGGCCGTGGCGCGAGAGCGACGGCGTCGGCGGCGCCGGCCGCGCCGGCTCTCGAGGTCTCGACGGCTCGTCGTGCGTGCTCGTCGGCGGCGACTCTGCGCTCGCTCCAGACGGCCCCCTCTCTGCGGGCGGCGGCCTGTCCTTTTGCTTCTTCGCGGCGGGCCCGCCGCCCTTTGGCGCGGGCGCGCGTCCCTTTGGCGGGGGAGGGCCGCACGCCGGCCTCCGCACCTGCAGGAGAGGGGCGGGGACGCGTCCGGGGGACGGCGGCAGGCTGTGTCGGGGGTCGTGTGTCGGGGATGTGTGCGTGTGCATGTCGTGTCGGGGGCGTGTCGGGGGATGCGAGGGGAGATGTGGCATCCATCGCTCGGCCGGTGCGAGATATGGGGAGATATGGGGAGATGCGGGGAGATGAGGGGAGATGAGGGGATGCGATTCGGAGGGGGCACGCGGGGCCGCCGTGGCGGTGCAAGCGGTGGTGTGGTGGTGAGAGTGGTGGGGGTGGTGGGGGCTGGCGTGATGAGAGGGATATGGTTGGGGTGGTGGCGGTGGAGGAGGTGGCGGTGGAGGAGGTGTGTTGTGTGCGTGGAGAAGGCTCGCGGGGAGGAATTCCTTCATTCATTAATTATTAATTCCAGAGGGCTCGCGGGGTCGCCGCACCGAGCCGTCGGCGCCGCGGGAGGAGATGCCCTGGAAGTAGGTTGCGTTCGGGAGGCCGAGCGTGCTGAGCGAGCTCGCCGCCACCTCCAGCTCTCTCATGCTCATCCCTCGCACCCGCCGCACGGCGGCATCAAACTGCGAGAGCAGCGGCGCGTTGGCGGCGGCGTGGGCGATGAGGGAGGCCTTCGGGTGCCACGAGGCGGTGGTCACGTGCGCCGCGCCCCACACCACCAGGTACGACGTCGCGCCCCCCTCGTGCACGCGCCGCGACAGCACGCGCGTCACGACGCGGCTGCCGTTTGCCTCGTAGAGGTCGACGCGCACATCGCCGCCGGCGGGCATCCGGTCGACGGGCTTGCGGCTGCGCTTGCCGTCGAGCGCGCGGATCATCGCCGGCTCCGCCGCCCGCCCCTCCTCGAACGACGCCGCGCCGCCCATCGGAGGCCCCTTTCCCGACGACGGCCCGGGCGAGATGCGGGATGGGCCAAAGGAGGGCTTGTAGAGCTCGGTCGGCTTGGCCACGTCCACGCGGAGTCGGTACTTCTTCGGCTCGGAGTCGGGCATCTGCGTTTATTTAGGGGCTCGCGGCGTGGAGGCGGTCAAGCCCTCTGGCAACCCCCCGCGCCAGCCCCGCGCTGTCCCCAGCTCCAGAAAAAGAATTAACGCCGTGCATGGTCTAGCGGCCGCGGCGGCGGGCGAAAAGGCGGTCCTGGCGGAGCTTAGGGCGATAGGTCTGTCGCTCGCGGTCAGCACTGGCGTTGCGTTCTCAGGCCGGTGCAGCCAGCTCCAACGCATAAAAAGAATACCAGATTTATACCGGTAGGGAGGCTTGCCGAATACAAAGTGGATCCGCCCTCCCGCCCGCCCGCCCGCCCGCCCGCCCGCCCCGCAATAAGCGCAGATGTCCTCTTCAGCCTGCCGAGAGCTTCCTGGCCCGCGCGCGCGCTCCGCCTGGCGTGCGGAGCGACTCGGTGGACGTCCGAGCCCGCCGCCCCTCGCCACTGCTCCCTGCTGGCCCATTCAGCGCGACACCGCTCCCCGCGGCGCCAGGGCCGGGACCCCACCATACCCTACCCCCCAGAAACCTCGAATCCAGGCTCATTCAGACCGACAAACAAACGGAGTGTCAAGCCGTGCTAGAGGAGGTCCGGGGCATGGGGAGGGAGCAGCTAGTCCACGAATACCGCCGCCTCTGCATCACCGGTTTCCGTCTGACCACG